TCATTAGGGTCGTATTTCCAGTGCAATCCTAACTTGAGCATTGAGTAGAGTTCTACAATACGGCTCTGAGATTCACACGACCGTGTTTGAACTCTGCAAACCAGCTATAAACAGTAGACTTGCATGGTGCTTTATCGCCAAAAGCAACTTCAAGCCGAGGGAAGCTCCGCTGAGCTGTTAAATTACACTTAAAATCGTAGAAAATCATACTACGAAAATTTTCACGATTTAAATCCATAGTGATATAGACAACTAATTTCTAAAATGATACCACAATGTAAAAACAAGTGACAGTCAGATGAAACAAACTGTATTCTACAGCCAAAGAGTTCCGTTTTCAAATGTTGTAATTACTTTTTAAATATTGTTTATGTAAGTGGCCAATACCGGAAACTTATAGTGCGCCCTATGTAATTGTCAACGACTCTACGACCCTTACGAGCTCTTCGTCATGCTTGTTGCCAGTCAGTAGGTATCCATTCCACTGTTTACCTACAGAACTTTAGAAATACGTCAAAAATACACGGTAAGGGTAATCGACAAGAATAATGTTATAGAACAACCTAAACAGGACGTTTTACATCCTTTTTAACCGGGATGTGGCCCAATATGGCCGTTCATTCCGTTTAACACGTAGTTATTTTATAATGCTTGCATACAGTAGCATTAGTTTCAAGACTATACAATGAAATCAACAAATCTTTAAAAATAATTATTTGCAATAAGCAAGCACGATTTTAAAAACAAACTCAGAAACTGCTTACAGGAGTAAAGTTATGAGAAGAAGGAGGAACTTTTAGTTAAAATTTCATGAAAATTCCCATCACCATCCCAGCCAGTTAGCTACCGTGGGCAAATCTTTGTTTCAGAGAGCACATGGTGTCTGCGACAGTAATCATCTGACGGAGGAACTTCAGCATATAAAGCAAGTCCTACATGCGAATAAGTTGAAGATTAAACGCCAAAGCCGTAGGCCCCGTGTGAAACCACCAACAGTCGAGCGAAGACCTGTTATTTTACCTTACCTGAGAGGTATTACAGACAAGATCGGAAGAGTCCTCAGGCAGTGCATCTATCAAGTCCTATTTCAAGCCCCTGAGGAAGATTTCTCAGTTCCTGAAACCCGTGAAATGTAACATCCCCTTACAAGATGCAGGAGTTTACAAGGAGGAGATTACAAGCTTGACTGTGAGTGCGGTCTCTCTTATATTGGACAAACGAAGCGAAGTATTTGTACCCGCGTCAAAGAACATACAGCTGAGGTCAAGCACCGTCGCGTAAACAAGTCTGCAGTCTGCGAGCATGTCATGGATAAACCTACACATACAATGAAGTTTGACAAACCCCAGGTCCTTGCAAAAGAAGTCCGTTATTTACCCAGGATGCTGCGAGAGCCATTGAAATTAAAAAAAACATCCTAATTTCAACAGGGAAGATGTTTTCTCCGTACCACCAGTTTGAGATCCAGTATTTCCTCTGATGAAAAATCCTAAACAGACATAAGACTGCAGTACTAATTAATATGTTACAATTTATTCTAATTTCCATCATAAATAATAATAAATTAACCTAATAAAAATTCATATTGTTAAAATAAAATAATTTGTAAAACATAATGTAGAGTAAATTGAAGTGTTCCTTTGTTAAATTAAAAATAACGTATTTAATTAATAACTTTTGTAACTATAGTGGAAACAATAGGGTGGTTTGCATTAATATTAGACATAACTGGTTGTAGCGAATCGCTGCAAATCTTTTTGCATATATTTTATAATATAGTCTTTTTTAAGCTTAGTTTTATATTTAAATTCTAAATTTAAATGTGTTTGTTTTTGGCGCCTTTTTCTTGACTTTAGTTTTGCTTTGATAGCTACGTGGTGTTCTGTAATAAAACTTAATCAACTGTAAGTACATTTGTTTGGCCTTGCTCACTCGTTGTTAGCACCCACCCTTTAACCCATTGATACAGTCCGCTGCACTGATTGATGACTATACCACGGAGTAATAGTTTCATTTCCTATTTCGTGCAAATTTAGCTTAGTTGTTAATGGTTGTTCAGCACTCATATCCACACAATTACAGACACGCACACGCAGACACACTCTCTCTCACTCACTCACACACACACACACACACACACACACACACACACACACACACACAC